AATAATTAGATTATTTGAAACATACTTTCATAAACCTCAAGCTCGCATACTTGAAGAAATTCTTTCCTGTTCAAAAACACACTCACGTAGCGACCCATCATCAGCTTTGGACAATAAAAAGTTTTCATCTCGCCGCTAGCCAACTTTCCACCATTTACACAAAGCGCATTGTTTCTTCCCCCGTTTGAACTAGCCTTCATGGTGAATCTTCTGTCGCAGTTGTTCTTTTGATACCAATTCTTTCACGAGGGTGTATGCTTGCTGTCGTTCGTTTTGCATTGTCTTGATGTAGTCTTCAGAGTACAAACGTGTTGGAGGTTTCATGTCCAATGGCGAATTTACTTCTCTTCCGTACATCAAGAATGCTGGTGTATGCATAGTCACTGAATGGGGAGTGGTCCTGAAAGCAAATGTAACTGCATCAAGGTATTCATCCCATGTTGAAGGCTTCTTAGATGCATAGATCTTTACTGCGTTGAAAAGCGTCCCGTTAAGATGCTCATTCAAGCCATTTGTGGATGGTCGGAAAGAACAAGTGAAAATTTTCTTTACCCCAAGCTGTTTGCACAATGCCTTCACCAATTTGGAAGTAAATTGACTACCTCGGTCTGAGAGAAGTTCTTCTGGGCACCCATAACAATGAATGAAGTCACGAAGTGAACGTGCCACTGTCTCTGCTTCTGTGTCTTCTACGGGGTACACCACAGGCCACCTTGTGAAATGATCTACTAACACCAATGCGTACTGATTTCCTTGATCTGATTTCGGCAAAGGTCCCACGAAATCCATGGCAACAATCTGAAGAGGTCTTTCTGTTTCGATCGATTTTAGAGGGGTCTTTGTGGCTGGTTTTGTAGACTTGAAGCGTGCACAATCTTTGCAGTGCCTAACGTGGCGTTTGATATCAGACTTCATCGTAGGCCAGAAGTAGGACATCTGTATCTTTCTGTAGGTTCTGAAGAAGCCTGGATGTCCTGAAAGAGGGTTGTCGTGGAATTTCACAAGCAACTGTCCAACCATGGTCTTTGGAACGATGAGCTGCTTTTTCGTCCTCCCTTGTTTCCCTCGAAATCTCCGAAAAACGCACCCATCTTCTGCGATGAAATGTTGGTCCTTCTCCCTTTCAAATTTTACTGCCAGATTTTTGTCTTCAGGTTTTGAGTTGTGGGTCAGAAATCTGATCCATTGTCCAGCATAGTTGTCTTTTCTCTGCATTTGACTGAAGTCCTGTGATGAGATTTCAAAGAGATTCTCTTCTCCCTTTTGAGGGTTCCTCGAGAGGGTGTCCGCGTTTGAATGGAGTCTGCCAGGGCGATGAACGACGTTAAAGTCATAGGACTGAATCTCGCTGATCCAACGTGCAAACAAATTGTTTGGAGCATTCATGGTCTTCAGCCACTTCAAGGGTCTATGATCAGTAACAACAGTGAAATGTCGACCATACAGATATGGATAAAAATGTTTTAAACTCCATACGATACCTAAGGCTTCTTTTTGAAGGACAGCATACTTGAGCTCTGATGATTTAAGTAAGCGACTGGCGTAGGCAACTACAACTTCTCCATCAGACGTGTCTTGAGCAAGCACTGCACCGATACCATCATCACAGGCGTCTGTGTACAATTTAAATGGCAGGTTGAAGTCTGGACACCTCAGGATGGGGGCTGTTGCTAAACACGACTTCAGGTCTTCAAACGATCTCTGTGCCTCTTCTGTCCAATGGAAAATCCTCTTCTTTTTTGTCAATTCAGCAAGTGCCTTCGATCGTCTGGCAAAGTTGGCAATGAATCTTCTGTAATATGATGTTAGGCCTAAAAAGCTTCTCACATCAGTTGCATTTTTAGGAACAGGGAAGTTACGTACCGAGTCTATCTTGGCTGGGTCTACTTTTACGCCTTCTCCAGAGATTATGTGACCAAGGAATTTCACAGACTCTTTCATCCAGTGACACTTCGATGGCTTCAAAGTCAGGCCAGCTTTACAGATTCTTTCCAATACCAAGTCCAGTCTTCGGAGGTGTTCTTCTTCTGTGGGTGCAAAAACTATAACATCGTCCAAATAGACGAGGCAGTGTGTCCAGTGAAGTCCGGAAAGTACCAAATCCATCAACCTCTGAAAAGTAGCTGGGGCGTTAGCAAGGCCAAAGGGCATAACTCAGAATTCCCAGTGTCCATTGTGAGTAGCAAAGGCAGTCTTTTCCATATCAGCTATTTTCATAGGAATCTGCCAAAAACCAGATTGAAGATCAAGGGTTGAAAACCAAGCTGCGTTTCCAAGGGCATCAAGCGTTTCGTCTATTCGAGGGAGAGGATATGCATCTTTCTTAGTTGCTTCGTTCAGTCGCCGGTAGTCCACACAGAATCTGAATTCACCATTTGGTTTCTCCAACAGTAGGACTGGACTGCTCCAAGGGCTGGCTGATGGCTGTATGATGTTGGAAAGAAGCATTTTCTGCACCTCCTTTGCAATTTGCTGTCTCTTTGTCTCTGGCACACGGTACGGACGCTGTCTGACAGGTTGAGCCTCTTGCACATCGATTGAGTGTTCTACAAGACGGGTTGTTCCCAACTGATTTGACTTAGGCCATACGTGATGTTTCCTCAGGACTTGGAGAAGGTTCGCTTGTTGCTCGTCTGAAAGGTGACTGAGTTTCAGGTCTTCGAAGGGTAGCACTGCACAGGCATCTTTATCAGCTTGATCTTCGTGGACAGAGTTCACTTCTGAAACAAATGGCTGCAAATGCACAAGCTTAGTACCAGGCTGTAGGGAAACTTCGCTACGAGTGGTGTTAACCAACTCGATCAGAACAGAATCATTTAAATCAGCTTTAGTAACAACAGGGGCAACCATAACTCGCTCATCGGTTTTAACCAATTGCCGTTCCCCAAACAAGGCTAAACCACAATGATTTCCAAATAATTTTGCTCTAATACGCACAGGTGTCCCTACAGGTAAACTAGTTACAGACCCTAAAACTGCAATACATTCAGACGGTAAATTTTCGAAGGAGACGTCAGTGCAACCTAATCTAACCTTCTTACGACCATAATCAATAACGACGTTTTGCTCTCTCAAAAATTCATCACCTAACAACAAATCAAATTTAAATTGTTCAACAATTATAACAGGCAAATCGAATCTTATATTTCCAATTTCGAGCCATACTCTACCCTTACCAACGATAGATAGTGCTTTACCTCCGGCTCCAACCAAACATACATGAGAATCGACAATTCTATTTCCTAAATTAACTTTCTTCCAAAAATCAAAATCCATTAGAGAATATTTAGCCCCAGTATCAAGAAAAATATCTGAACCGACATTATTTACATGACCTCTTACCCAAACACCTTCTTTTGCAAGCCTCGAAGCCAACGAACAATTCAAATCTACGGGGATTTCTTGCGTCTCAGGAAAAGTGGGAATCCCCTCTCCGACTTCTCCGGCATTTTGGCATCAGGACAGCTGATTTTCATTTGGGTAAATGGCACCGTCCGCGATCGGATTTGTTCTGCTACGATGCTGTGGCTGGTACTGGTGTTGGCTCTGGCTCTGGCTCTGGTTCTGAATCTTGATCTGGCTTCTGTTTCGGGTTGGATTCTGGTTCGAATTCTGAGGGCAATTTCGCTTGATATGACCTGGCTGATTGCAACGAAAACAAGTTCCTCTTCCTCTTTGTGTACTTTGGAATTGGGGGTACGGGGCAGCTGACTGTGCTGACTGAGCTGCCAAGTTCTGAACAGCCGAAGTTAGGTTCTGGATAGCTTTCCATATTTCTTCATTGCTTTTTGCTCGGTCTTCATTAAAACGCTGGATTGTGGCCATAACATCTTCGGAAATTTCGTTGACCCGCGATTTTTTTCCCATGGAGTTGAGATATACCTCTCGCCTTTCAGCTGCGGTTATTGCCTCCTGGAATGATTGTGGGCACTTTTCCCAAACGGTTTCTTTTATTTCATGGCGCAAACCCTTGATGAATTGCTCACAAGCGATGCGGTCTCGTCTTTCTCCATCGTCCAAACCATCGTGTCCCTTTACCACCAAGCAGTCTATGCGCTCTGCGAAATCCATCACTGACTCCCTTGATCCTTGGGTGGTTTCCTGTAACTTCTGCCGGGCTAAAAATCGTTTTTCTTCTGTGTTGAACAGATCCTCCAATGCTTCTTTCATTGATTCCAGATCTTGTCTCGTTTCGTGAGGGATCTTCCAAAAGGTTCTTGCTGCGCGGCCACTCAGATACGCCGGTAACATCTGCAATTGATGCTGGTCTGTCCATCCATTGGCTGTTGCTGCGATATCCCATTTTATCAACCATTCCGTGATGTCCTCTTTATCTTTACCAGAAAAAGTTGCGATATCAATGATCGTCCTTCTAGGCCTAGGTGCTGGTACAGGTCTCTCGGGGGCCAGTTGAGCTGCAACGGCTTCGTTTTCTTCTCTGTATGCCATTCTTATGCTTTTCAGGCTCGTCAAAATGTTAGTTTCAATTAAATATCCCACTCAGACTGTCACCAAAAAGTGTCACAAACCCAGAGAGTAAAACACCAAAAAGAAGCTGTGTTTATAACTCAGACACTTTAATACAAATAAAACATACGAAGCATACTAGGCCCTAACCTAACCTAAAGCCTTACGACGAGTGACAGAGTTTCGTTCAAATAGCTTCTCCTGTCTCCATCCAACTGACTCTACTTAAACTACAACTTGTATATATGTACGAATGGAATCTAAAAATAGCAATACACGATAATTATGGTTACTAACCGATAATAAGTAAAAGGAAGGGCTAGGTTAAATGATGCCATGCAACGTAAACACATCTAAATCAAAAGTATGCAAAAATGATATAAAACTACGCAAATGGTAAAGCAACAACATAGGGACGAGAATGAGTAACCTACGACTAGGCCTAAACAATGCTGGGAAAATCCCGCACCTGCAACATAAACAATGGAAGGGGGCGTCGCCAACATGAGACAATGCTATGATGCGAAACAAATGACGTACGAACGAGAGGTATGCCACAGCTAATGGTATGCAAAAAGGAACATAGAGAAAATCCTAACAATGAATGGGCTAAGGGCTATCAAACAAAATGGCCTAACTATACTTAAGAAAATTGTGACATTTGCTTGGCAATACTGACCAACCTGCAATGTAAAAGTTTTATTTCATGAATGATCAATTGTAGCTACGTTTTATCACATCATATCACGAGTGCTATATTAGTCTTGAAATTTACGAGAATGAAATCTCTTGTTCCTTAAGGCCATGCTCTTCGCAGGATTAAAAAGTTAAAAATTGAAAGCTGTGTTTGATGCTCCTTTTGATCAACGACTTGTTGTTCTTCCTTCTTCTCTCTATTCAACTAATTTTTATATGTGCCCTTTTCACAATTTTCTGTCACAAAATTAGTTTTCAAATTTATAAAGGAAGTTGAATTTCGAATAGGCATTTCAATAGAAAACTCACATTTTTCTCTTCAAAACGGATTGAATAGTATATCCAACCCTCCATTTTTTGTGTTTCAATGAAATCTTTGGGATCCTGTGCTGATTTGTTATTCAACTGGCAAATACCCAACTCTTTGTTTAAATTCATAGACTTGCATTGATGCTCCATGATGCATTCAAACTTACACAACTGCTCATCCAAGTTGTCCAAAGAACGAAATGTAGAACTAAGTAAGTGATCATGAAGCACAGCAGTAAAATTGGCGAAGATCTTGCATGGCAGACGAAGTATTTCTCCATTTACATTTACCGAAAACACCAGCAACAACAGTCTGGAAAAATATTAGTACTGAATCAAGGCTCACTTTTTACTAGCCGTTTTCTACAAAAGCAATTTAAAAATCTCCTTGTCCATTAAAGATATTCACATGAAGAGACCCATCAAACCTAGCAACAATGGTTGTTTATAGGCATGAAAAAATTTTTATGATAAAATTTCACGAATCAAAAAAAAGCTTACAGAAATTATTTATAAATATCATCTTAGATAGAATTATTTCTCACAAGAAAATTCCTCTATTAGAATGCTGAACTACTATTAATCACCTTGAGGAAAGTTCTTTGGAACCTTAGCCTAATACGTTGTTTTGTTTTCACAAGGAAAACTTTAATAAAGCTGTTACATTTTCAAGACAACATATTCTCTAAACGCTAACAGACTTTTAGATCTACTTCGAGACAACCTTTGCTATAAATTAAAACTTTATGTAAGAAAATGTAACAGTAATCATTGTCATAGTTCATCTTGAAAAAAAATGAAGTTGGTAAATTGAAAGAAAGAAAATTCGTAGTAAAGACTTTTTCATAGAAATATTGTAAGTCAAATTCTTTATTTAAAACAATCAATTCCAGATGAGGCCAAGATTCTACTATGCTTCATCTTCAGAAAAAAGTTCGTGTTAAAAGCATGGGTTTTGCATCAAAGATTTGCAAAAAACTAAACTAGTATGATAACGATTAGCAAGTGAAAAGTAAATAAAGGGGAAAGAAAGAAGCACAAAGTCTAAAACAAGAAAATGGAGCAACATCGGGAATCAAGAAAGGACAAACACGTAAAATGAGTTGACTTTTCTGGAAGAACAGATAGAAAACATCTACAATATAACCTTTCAAAATCAAGACATACATTTGAAAATGCATCTTTATTGATCGGGAAACCAGAAAACTTTGTCTTTTAACCTTATACTGGAAGAAAACAGCTCACCTCTTACCAACTTTGAACAAACTTTGCACTGACCATAAACTGGTTCTAAAATTGCCGTTAATTGTAAATGGAATCTATTTTTAAGTTTGACAACATCTGAATTTATCAATAAATTTGAAAATTTGCATTTGTTTAATACTGTTGAAAACAATGTTGTTATTGAAGATTTTTCAGATGCAATTCCTTAATAATTTTGCCGAAAGTTAAAGACATTGAGTCATGATAAATAGACTGGGTATACCCTAAGTGCCAAAATCCGCTGAGTCATGATTTCCATGACTGCGATGCTATTGGTTGACCTTAAACTGGTCACATGAACTCACCTCGTACTGATTAACATAACAGTTTCCATCAATAGCAAGTTGTCAACAACGGATGCCAATATCACATGAAACAGCAGCGATCACGCCGAAACCAAATGACCCCCTATAGAGAAAGCCTATTTACCATGACTCAATGCCTTTAATTACTTAATCAACCTGCATGAGTTCTTGTTGCTTAGAATAATAAGAAAATAATAATACAAATATAAATTATAATAAGAGTCTTGCTTGAAAAACTCGAAGGATCTGCTGTTATTTAAGATTCTAATTGCATCTAGCCATTTCTTGCAAATCGATTGATTTATTAACTTGGGCAACTTCCAATTTTTGAAGAAGTTTTCATAAATACGCACTTTTAAATCCAATCGAAGTCTGTTTCTTGATATCTTATTTAAACAGTTGATGATGAATATTTTTGAATTGAAATGCATTGATCAATGTTTTGCGAATTTTCTGATTCATTTAGCTGTTGAATCTTATATAATCAAAGTAAAGAGATATTAAACTATTTCTTCAAAACCCTAAGACTTTATCAGCCTATCAAGTGATCACACTACCAGATATTAAGATTGATTTTGTTCAATCGTTTAATGAAATCTTATTGCTTTATTAGCCTTGAAATTATTTTCTATTCAATTTATATAAAAGAAAGTTTCAGAAAGTTCCACTTTTAAATCTAATTAAAAGGACATTATAGTGATAAGACTTAGGTTTAAGGAGATAGAGGAAAAATAAAGAAAAAAGGAATTCACTTATTATAGCAAGCCAATATCCGGGTGGGGAGGTTGATTCTATAAGGATGGAGTACAAACCATCAATCTAACCTTTTCTCTCCCTGCGCCCAAAATGTTGCACTTTGTTTCTCTATATTATTTCCCTTTCAAATTCAACCGAAACATTTTCTGAATTTCATGTAATCAAAAAGAAATAGTTCAGGTGAGCTAACCAAAAGAATAACTTTTACTCGATTACTAGATCTGAAACTAAATATGAACCCAACATTTTATATTTATTAAAAAAGCTTATTGGAATATTATCGCATATTTTCATCAGCCAAACTTCAGGAAAGACCCTTTTTGAGGCGTAATAAGTGATCATCAAAAATTTGTAGAATTATTTCTGGCCAGATGTTGATAGGCGGCAAGTATCCTTCTCCATCCTCCCATTCTCTTTTTTAGCCCTGCGCTCTTACAAGACGCCTGCTGGCCTATCGCAAGACCGTTTTGTATACGGTTGTGTAGAACTAAGCAATCTTGAACAATTTTCATTTTTTTCCAGAAAGCTGTCTCGTGTCTATCGCTGTGAATTCAAAAGAAATTCTTCGAAAAGGAAAGTTTACATTTGTTCAGGGAATATTGGATTTGATTCATTAGAAGAATACGAAGAAGCTGCAATAATTATGCAGGTGGAATATTTCAATTGTCTAGTTTAACAAACAAGTAAATGCCTCATCAAATTATATCATGCCGAAACGGCTTGCTACTTTTAGATTCGCCCCTTGTCTTTGTGCTATTGTCATAAAGTAAAGAAGCAGAGAAGTATTGCTGGGTTGGACAGAAACAGAGACAGTCATACATAAACGTTGACAATTTTCAAGTAAGTTTTCGTTTATATTTTAGTCTAATTGTATCAATTAAGGTAATAATATCCAAGATGGTTGAAAATTATTTAGAAACATTTTTTGCAAGTTTGTAAACCAGCAACTGAAAGTTTCAGTTCAACATTCCGATTATCAAGAATTCTGAGGAATACGTACATCGCTTTTCTGGTTAATCGATAATCAAAATCTTAACCTTTTGACTGTGCTTACCCATCCATTTCCTTTAGACTTAAACTTAGGTAAATTTCCTTCGCAAAGTTTACTTGAAATATGCGTATTAGGTTCAGATTTTACGAATAAACATTTTTCGGCATAGATCATCTCGAGCTCTGCTACAAAACGTCGCATGGGTAATAGCGAAGAATTTGCTGACAAGACATGACCAGGGGGAGTTGAGGTCTTATTACAAATTTTTTGGTAATTTGATATCCTCAAGGGTCAACAACAATGCCAAACAATGCCATTTGTCCTCCAAACACTTGCAAGTTTGGGCTTGGTTCCTAGTTTAGAAACAAGGTACCGAAAAATGGTAAACGCTCAAGTCTCAGCTGTTTAGATAAGAAAGTCACGACCTACAAAATTTTCGCCTAAATGCCTATGCCTTAAGTACCAACACAGATCTCTCCTTTAGATCAACCTTGAAAACATTGGAAATCCTTTAAATCCTTTAAAAATAAAATTTGGAAATCCACAATGCTTTGTAAGTGCCAAAAGATATTAAATTTTCTATGACTAGTAGTGCATACAGTTTTCAAGAGATTTTATTTTTGAATCAAATAGTAATAAATAAAAACATGTAACCTCTTTAAATAAGACTACAATTTCACAGCATTTTCATATAATTCAAATAGAAGTTGAGTAGAGTTTTTCACAATAATATTAAATATCAATTTAATCCGTTTTCTAGGAAAGACTTCAATCTATCTATTGTCCAAAATGGGAGTATTTATGCTCGCGACGTTGCTTCTCCAAATTTTCTGCTTTGCTTCGATAAATTCAGACGAGAGCCAAAGTACAAGAAAATCCGTTTTCGAAGAGGTGCATAACCCAACTCAGATAACAACAAGCATGTTTCATAAGACCTTCCATCAATGCAGCATGGATTACACATGCAATTACATTGTTAAGGATGTTAAGAGCCACACTTATAATAGATTTAAAGATGAGCAAGAGATCCCGGCTGAAAGATCAAACTTTGTTATATGGTCAAAGAAACAAGCAAGAAGAGGTATGAGTTGTTATTTCCAAAGCCATGTAATCAGCAGCTCTAGTTAGTAATCAATAACTGGTTAATAAATCCTTTTATGCGTGTAGAAAAGATCTGTTGTAATTATGAAAGAAGTGCTTTGTTTTTGTATTCAGTCAGAAACTCTTGAATTCATCGAGGCTTAGTTTTGTTTCCCTTCTAGGGGAATAACATAGGTAACCAACCAAGCTATCACGTTGCAACTTCATCCTTCTATTATCGTGTTGCAGCCTAAAAGTATACTGGAATTTGATGTAATATTTTAGATGAATAGAAAAATGTAATATTCTGCAAGATGTCTTTATACGAATAGAATGCAATATGATATTTTGATAATTTAGGAACTTATTGCCTGCCTCTTTATGACAATTCAATTTAAGGAAACTGGTTTTTGAGATTGCGATGAAATTATTTTGATTTGACCTAAATTCCAGTCGTTCCAGGGAATATCGCTGATAAAAAGCCGTCCTCACATTCATCAACATCAACCGTAAATGGAGTCACATTAGTTGCCAGCTATGGAAATGACGGTGACAGAACTGGAGACTGGCAGCGATGCAGTATCACAAAAACTGACATATTACCCTGGTGGCAAGTGGACCTGACAAGGCAAGCTGCGGTCGCAAGTATCCAAATAAGAAATGGCGCAACATGGGGTCAAGAAAAAATCAATCCATTCGATGTCAGTGTTGGGGATGATAGATCAAGTGGCGGACGAAACAATGCGCTTTGTGTGAAAGATGGAAGGTTGGCAAGTGGTGAATTGAAAAAGTTCGATTGCCCAAGGCCTTTGCTTGGTCGGTATGTGACTGTGTTCTTGAACAGGCAAGAATATCTTCAAGTTTGTGAGCTTGAAGTTTACGAATTTCAAACAGAATGGTTCGTATAAAGCATCGTTTAATGTTTTTCATGTTCGATATTGATTGTCCTATATGTTCTGTAAACAGTCTGTAGCAATAGCTTAATATACCTTGATTGTAATGAGAAGGCTATTCAGCTCAACTTTTACTTTCTCTGGATGTCGCTGACTTAATTTCGCTTATGTAACATTGGTTGTTGAATTATCTCCTAAAGTCCTGCTAACACAGAAGTGAATCCGAAAGAGCAAAGAGTTTTTCTTGATATTGCACGACTTTCTGAAATGATTTGTCTGAAACTGCATAGGATTTTATCTAGATACGCTTATTTCATAGATTGTTGTTGTAGCTGACCCGAATAAAACCTTATCTATTGGGCCAGTTTAAGTACGACCCACTCTTCTTCTAGCTGGAAAGCATTTGTTGCATCTGGATTCATTAAATTTGCAACGTGTAATACCAAACAAATCCGGTCTCATGCCTGTAGCCCCAAAGGCCAGTCGGTCTCATGCCTAGTAGAAAAGGATAATCCACTTAATGAATGAATTGGTGTATAGAACAGGACTATTCAATGAATGAACATCTCATTTCTGATAAACTGAGTATATTCCAGTTCAGTCTGCTCATTTCGTTTCTTAGTATTTCGATCTTTCCAAATCTATTCACTGTTCTCACATTCCATGTTCCTATGATGATTTCTGTTCCTATGAGGTTAATACCGCGGTCTGCAGTAGCTAACTTATCGCCTCCGCCCTGGTGAAAATCAACGGAAAACTCGATCGTTTTTATCCTGGGCCTCGATCGATCCAGTATGGAATTCTGGTTTGTCTTGTTCATGAGTGAATCAGTAGGCAGGTAGTTCAGCGGCGCACATCTCCTCTCCCAGTATAGATGGCTGTTGACTCATAGAGTTCATCCGCAGTTTAACACATCTTTCTTGTTTCGCTTGAATGGTGTTCACGCACCCTCCTCCCCCAAAAAGGGTTGGGTTGCCAGTTTGGTCGCCGGCATCTCGATCATGTAGACAGGTAATACTGGATGGCATGACCACAATTAGCAAGTCTTGCGACCTAACCTGACTGACATATATACACTTGTGTAATTGATTTTTGTTTAAAATGAATCTTTATAGATACATTTTGCAACTTTAAAGATTTTTAGTTTTTCAGCTTGATGCAATATGAGTACAAATATTTGTATAACTATATTAAAAACGAATTACATATAATACTTTAACGAAAGCAGCTATGTCGTATCATTGTGTTCACTCTATGTCACGAGGTAGAGAAAAAAGAAAAGAGACGTAGATTAAATCTAAACTAGGCTCTAATCAACACATATCCACTAGTAATAAAAAACCAACAACCACGCTTCAATGCGCTACTAAGTTTGAACTCAATAGCGATGTGTTCTTTATTGAATGTCAACACAATACATGCAAATATTTTTAAGGAAGGTGACATTAGGCTAGTTTCACCACACTCTACACATGTTGAAACGGTGTGCATTTCTGCAAGGCAAGGGTCGTTCGAAATCAAAAATTCAATTAAATCGTGACCATCATGACCTCCTAGCGTGAAAACCAAGATTCATTGTCCGTTACCATTCTATAAAAAAAACTGTATATAGTAATGTAAATAAATACATACACTTGATAATGCACTTTTTTTTCCATGTATCAGTTGTTTTCATTGCTTGAGGTTTCAATGGTTTTCTTTTCTTCACACTTATACTGCAACTCTGTAGAATGGCAAACAGCCAAAACCTCATCACTGCTTTGCGGTGCGGTTCTTAGTGATATTGCTTAAAGAGACTGTCGAGTCTCTAAGAATCATGCGTACTTCTTTTCCTTCATGCTTTGCCACTGACAGCCTAATTACTGGCCCTAGGTCAGCATTGGGTCGTCAATCAGTCTAGCTGTACTATTGATCCCTGATATGGGGCGAAACCGGTCTACAGCCGACTGTTTGAGGTGTCAGTGGTTTTCTCTCCTTCACATTTTCCATGTACAAAATATTGTTCTCTTGCTCCTTTTTGCATTAAAACTCACTTGCCATCATTAATTACCCTGAACTCTGAACATCTAATGATTTCATTATTTCCAAATGTAACGTACGGGTATAGTATTTACAATACAAGATGTTACAAGGAGTGTCATGTAAGTCATTTTTAAGGCTGCCCAACCAATGCCACTTGTCTTTTGAATATAGAAGTAGAGACCTAAGGTTTAAACTAACTCCTTCGGTCAAAATAATAGCGGTTTTTCATGCTTATCTACATCGACTAACCACCCCATCCCCCATACCCCATCTTTTCGACACCCTTGACGGAGATTATCAGCCGAGAAACATTTTAATAATGTGTTGATAAACCGGTTTATAGTCTAAAAGATGTCAGACGAAATATGCAAATATTCTACAATGTGCAAAAATATTGACATCAGGAAGTCACCAATAATATCATAGAGTTATTATTGTTGAAAATTGTTACACGTGACTTGGATATGACCAAATTTGGAGACAGGTCAATAAAAACATATTTTCGCGGGATTCGCTCCATCTAAAAAAATTATTCACCAATCAATTGCTCTCATTTATTACATTTAATTAATGAATAATTGATTTTATACTGCTGATGTCTGCAAAATGTAACATCCATGATGTTCTACATCTTTCTGACGTCATATGTATCTGACGTCATCTGTCGTCAATTAAATTCTTAAATAAATTCCTGAAGTTTTCTTTGATCTTTTTATATGATGATATCATATAATGCACGCCTCGACTATCATGGACCGTTACTGTAATATCGTTGTGGATTGTGCTCAGAATTTCAATTGCTCTACTGTTATTAGAATTGATTCACTTTTTTAAAACTTGTTGGTTAAGGTTATATTCCTCTATCAAGATTTGTCTACAAATTTATTGTTTATTAGTTTGTTCATGCCGATTGGAAAAAATTTCATTACAACCCTTCCTATAGACATTGCTAGGCAAAACCACGTCAACAATCAGTTCCAAATTTGGTTTTCAAACTAACAAAGGAAATGCTAGGTACCTACAAAACCTTCTGCTTGACTAGCTTTTGTTTTTCTAGAATTATATATGGGTGGTTTCCTAAATGAAATACTTCAAATTAGTGTTTGTCAGAACGATTAAGATTCCCTGTCTTCCTGTTCAAAACAACGGAATTTACTAGAAAATTAACCTAAAATACATGACAAATTACGTTTTGATAAAATAACCTGAAAGCTCTGTGCATTTTTAAAATTCTTTTTTGCAAATTGTAGTAGATATATTGCTCTCCTCTTCAAATGCATCCTTGCTTTCCAGGAAGTAGAAAACAAATGATGATTTCAGAAGACTTCTTTTCAGAATACATCTAAAATGAAAAGTTCATGTTAATATAAACTTTTAATATCACAATATTACAGAATTGATATCACAGCATCCATTCAGTTGATCCAAAAGTATAATTTCTGTTAGCAAAAAAATTGTGTATAGAAACTCTTCGCTTGCAAATTTTAACAAAAAATCAAACAAAATTGACCTCATGCTAATGGTTATCTTTTCAAGCCTGATGCCAATCTTTATACATTGATTGTAGTTTTGCATTCTGAAAGAGATTGGTGGTGCTTGCATGGACGAAAGTCTGATGTTGGGTACTTAAATTTGAAAAATGCCAATGGAACATCATAAGTTGCTTTTGAAATTAACAAAGTATGGTGTTGCCGAAGCTTGCTTTAAAGAGCCCTGTTTCTTTGTTTTAGGAAGGCCAAGTACCCTAAGTACCAGAGCCACAAAATTTCGAGCACGTAAATAGAAAACTAAGCGGAGAAGCGGGGACCTTCGCCAGTGCTGTCGCTAGAAAATTTTGATGGAGGGGGCTACAAAACCAGTGGTTTGCGACAAAATGTGTATGGCTATAGATACGGGCGTGGTTCTTAAACGATTATAATGATTATTGATAAAACTCGCGAATATTTATCACTTTGCTCCTCTTCTCGAATCTTCTAGTCCTGCAATCAAATTTATGTGGGTCTGGTACCCATTCATTCTTTCAACTTTTGACAGTTTTGAAAAAGAAATAGACTTTTTTGAACATTGATCCTTTGATTCTTGTAGCAATAAGTCATTTAAGCCATTTTGCAGTCGAAGATATCAAGTCCAAGATAACTAAAGCAAACAAATATAATTGTTATATATTGTACGACTCTCCAGTCACCAGAAAGCACTAAACAGAGGCTTAGATCAATATTCAAAATAGAAAGCATCACCCAGGAGGACTGGATTGCAACCTACATTAAGTAAAAATTTTTGGCATGACAACTTAATCCGGAAGGTTGTCACGTCGACAATTTTTTTATGATCCACATATGCGCAGTGACTATTGACTAAAGCTAAGGCTACAATCTTTAAACATGAGTGATTACAAAATTTTTGGAAAAATTTTTTTTTTGAAAAAGCCCTTTTCCAAGTTAATAGGACCACCATTTCAAATAATTATCATTATTGTTCTCATCGTCAATTACTGAGCCACTAAACTAAGGATTTGAGCCGTTCCTGTACATAATGTTTTATGACATTGTCATGATTTCAATAGTCAGATATTCTTCCAAAGTTTCTTAAAACTTTTGTGAAACGAATGTGAAACTATAACCTCATGTCTTTTCCCTTCACACATCCAAAAGACTGTTCAAAATTTTCCTGAAAATTTGTCTGTCCGTAATTTTAAAAGTATGATATAAAATTCCTTTGACTAAGTTCATTGTCCGAAATTTAATCCGTTGAAAATTTATGTTCTCAATGTATGTGTCGCATGTTTGGTTGGTAGAAAAATTTATCCACAGCTTGTAGACGCGCAAATGCCATCAGTGCAGTGGCTGCGAGAATTTTCGCCCTTTATTCGAAATACCCTAGGTGCCATAGTCTCGATTATTAAATCTCAGAAATAACGAGGCTCTGGTCTGGTACCTATGGTATGTTAGAAAGAAAGCCTTAAGGTTACGGTAAACGTTTTCTGGATGAAAACATCATTTTTTTGATTTTTTCACATTCAAGTAGCCGAACTTTCAAGGCACACAATGATACCAAATTTGAAACAAACAGAAATTTTGAAAGTGGAAAAAATCCCATGTAAACGAAGGTTTCCATAATTTCTTTATCAAAACTTTTAGTTGAGGCCTGAAAATCTCTTGACCTTTTTAGCCGATTATCGTTGCTTTGCGGTTGTAGTCGCATGTCTCATTTACAATATCACATGGCACATTCATATACCCAATGTACGGCCGTGCTTATTTAAACAGGCTTATTGATCTTAAATCTTCAAGTGACTTGACCCGGAATACACTGTGGTTTACGAGTGTATCTTGCAAGTGCGATTAGTAAAATCCCGTTTTCTCCGGACTCGAAATTCCTATACATGCAGATACGAAAAAGCTATTTTGTACCCAAGGAACCAATCGAATGGCTCGAAAATTTGCACACGGCCAGGGCAGACGTTGGGCAAACAAAGTGTATCTCAAAATTTTTTTATTTTCTCTGGTCCGTCTTTTATACCCAAATACAGCTGCGGGAGGGTGGAAAAATTATCTGCCAATTTTTGACAGGGTATAGTTTAAAGAAGAGGAGGAATTTAAGAAATCTGAGACACACTTTGGTAGCTTAGGACCGGCACTTCCTGCTGGTCTAAATCAGATTTTGTTACCTCAAACGCAAGGGTACATAATAGCTTTTGAAGGTGGTACACTTTTTGACTAGTAAATTCGCATGGAAAATAACATTTAACATTATTTGCCAATAATTTTTATCTGGCTAGATACGCCATAATCTTGTGCATCGAATGATATGTAGTTTATCCAGATTGCTTGAGCCGTTTGGCCTTTAGGAAGGAAAAACCAATTTTCGTGTTCAAAACGTTTACCGTAACCTTAAGTTCAAGCACATACCTTCATAAACCTCGCATACTTGAAGATATTCCCTCCTGTTCAAATAAACACTAACGTAGCGACCCGTCAGAATCTTTGAACAATCGAACTTTTTCAATTCACCACTTGCCAACCTTCCATCTTTCACACACAGTGCATTGTTTCGTCCTCCACTTGATCTATCATCCCCAACACTGATATCGAATGGATTGATTTTCAATTGACCCCAAGTTGCGCCACTTTTTATTTGGACACTTGTGACAGCAGCTTGCCTTGTAAGATCCACTTGCCACCAGGGTGTCACGTCAGCTTTTGTGACACTGCATCGCTGATAGTCCCCATTTCTGTCACCGTCATTTCCAAAGCTGGCAACTAATGTGATTCCTTGTATGATGGAAGTTGATGAATGCGAGGACGGCTTTTTATATGCCAAATTCTCCGCTGTTAACAAAATTATTGTCGTATAAAGAATATTTAAACTTGGTTTAAAATTCATTGGGTATTTGTTGATAAAAAAACACACATTGCAAGCCTCTTTTTGGCAAAAGCATATTGTGAAGTTTTTGCCAAGTGCAATAGAACACCTTGTCAACGTAGAAAACAAAAGGCATAACATCTAATGAGTCTCAAGAGATCTACATTCTGATATCAATGATAAAAGAAAGAAATAATTACCTAACATAAATATACACATGTATATATAAAAATGATTTTTAAGCCATACTCAAATTTATCATTTTTTCAGCTGGCATTTTAGGTTTAGAGTGGCCTATGATAATTTTTTTCACTTTTTGCTGACTTAAGCTTTGGTTTAAAGAAACGTTTTTTAAGACCAATTACATTTACATTCACAACCATGTGTAAAAGATTATTGTGAGCCTATATGCTAAATCCTAAATAAAAAGCCAATGGATCAATGAGAAATTTTTGTCGCTTAATATTGTTTTGCCAATTTGGCATTTTGCTTGGATAATAATTTCACTTTTGAGTTTAATCTAATTTTAACAGTAACTTATTTACTGGTCAGAATTATGCTAATACAAAAACCTGTAAACATTTATTTCTTCATTTAGATTTTGTCTGTACTATTTGGGTGAAGACAAAGAGATAGAGATTTGTATTTTTACAGCAAATTAAGTGATATTGCCTGGTCCATGTACTTGACCAAAAGCCAAAAAAGAAAACTAAAATTTATAAAATAAACACATACATCCATAAACCTCAAGCTCGCATACTTGAAGAAATTCTTTCCTGTTCAAAAACACACTCACGTAGCGACCCATCATCAGCTTTGGACAATAAAAAGTTTTCATCTCGCCGCTAGCCAACCTTCCACCATTTACACAAAGCGCATTGTTTCTTCCCCCGCTTGAACTAGCCTTCCCAACACTAACATTGAATGGGTTTATATCATGTGTAGGCCAGGCTACAGAATTTGTTATCCGAACATGTGTAACAGCGGCTACCTTTTCAAGATTCACTTGCCACCAGGGCTGCTCTTCATAACTGGTAAAACTACATCTTTGCCAGTCTGCCATTCTGTCACCATCATTTCCAAAGCTTGCAACAAGTTCTATTCCGTCATATGTATGGGTTGATGAATGGGAAGATGGCTTCTAATAGGCGATATTCTTTGCTGTGGCTGGAAGATAATTTACAAATAGAAATTGTAATAAAAACTCTTCTTATGCACAATACTAAAAAAGGGTTTTTGTAAAACTATAAGGTTTTACAGATAAACGTAGACGAAAGAAGGAAAACAAAAAATGTACATAATTTCTATTCGATATCCAAACGACGGCAATAAACTTGAACAAAAACGAGGATGTATCAAAACCTGACACTACAAATATTCGGCGACTCCACAATAACGATTTTGCGTAACGGCAACTTTAACACGACTAAAGGTAACGTCAACTTCAAATCGACAGAATTTACGAACAAGGGTACAGCAAATATACCACTTGACAAACAAACCCTAATTATGTTTTAACACGATAATTATATCAAACAAAGGGACTGATGAAAACAATAGTCTTGATGGGATGATGCAATGACATAGAATGTTGATGGCAAGGAAACAAACAACAGTACTGACGCAAACATTGGCACACAACACAATTAGTTTACTAGAAACAAAACATGCAAAACTGGTTGTATAACACTTTGTACCCAAAAGCAATGTAGTTGCTATTGTATTTACCAATGCATTTATACCCTGGGCAGTAGCAAGTGTCAATGCATTTATTTCCGGCGCTCCAAGGATCATTTGCTTGGCAAAACTGACCAACCTGCAATGTAAGAGTTTTATTTCATGAATGATCAATCGTTAGCTTTATCACAACATATCACGAGTGCTATATTAATTTTGAAATTTACGAGAATAAAAGCCCTTTTTCTTTAAGACAATGATTTTTGCAGAGCTAAAAAGTTAAAGATTGAAAGCTGTGTTTGATGCTTCTTTTGATCAATGACTTGTTGTTCTTCTTTCTTCTCTCTATTCTGCTAATTTTTATATGTGCCCGTTCCGCAATTTTCTATCACCAAATTAGTCTTAAAATTTAAAAAGAAAGGTGAATTTCAAATAAGTATTTAAATAGAAAACTCACATTTTTCTCTTCAAAACGGGTTGAATAATATGTCCAACCCTCCTTTTTTTGTGCTTCAATGAAATCTTTGGGATCCTGTGCTGATTTGTTATTTAACTGGCCAATACCCAACTCTCTGTTTAAGTTTATAGACTTGCATCGATGCTCCATGATGCATTCAAATTTACACATCTGCTCATCCAAGTTGTCCAAAGAATGAAATGTAGAACTTAGTGAGTGATCAGGAAGCACAGCAGTAAAATTGGCGAAGATCTTGCATGGCAGACGAAGTATTTCTCCATTTATATTTACAGAAATCACCAGCAGCAACAGTCTGGAATAAATTAGTACTGAGGCTTACTTTTTACTAGCCATTTTCTACAAAACAATTAGAAAATCTCTATGTTCATTGAAGGTATACACATGAAAAGGCGGATCAAACCTAGCAACAATGGCTGTTTATAAGCATAAAAAATTTTGATGATAAAGTTTCACGAATCAAAAGAAAGCTTACAGAAATTATTTATAAAATTATTTGTCTCAAGAAAATTCTTCCATTCGAATGCTGAACCACCTTTAATCACCCGGAGGAAAGTTCTTTGGAACCTTAGCCTAATACATTTTTTTGTTTTCACAAGCAAAACTTTAATAAAGCTGTTACACTTTCAAGACAACATATTCTCTAAACGCTAACAGAGTTTTAGATCTACTTCGAGACAATCTTTGCTATAAATTAAAACTTTATGTAAAAAAATGTAACAGTAATCATTGTAATAGTTCATCTTGAAAAAAAATGAAGTTGGTAAATTGAAAGAAAGAAAATTCGTAGTAAAGACTTTTTCATAGAAATATTGTAAGTCAAATTCTTAAGTTAAAACAATCAATTCCAGATGAGGCCAAGATTCTACTATGCTTCATCTTCAGAAAAAAGTTAGTGTTAAAAGCACGGGTTTTGCATCAAAGATTTGCAAAAAACTAAAATAGTATGATAACGATTACTAAGTGAAAAGTAAATAAAAGTTAAAGAAAGAAGTACAATGTCTAAAACAAGCGAATGGAGCAACGCCGGGAATCAAGAAAAGGACAAACAGGTAAAATAAGTTTAATTTTGTGGAAGAATAGATAGAAAAACATCAACAATATAACACTCTTAAATCAAGACATACATTTGAAAATGCATCTTCTTTGATTGGGGAACCAGACAACTTTGTCTTTTAACCTTATACTGGAAGAAAACAGCTCACCTCTTACCAACTTTGAACAAACTTTGCACTGACCATTAACTGATTCTAAAATTGCCGTTATTTGTAAATGGAATCTATTTTTAACTTTGACAACATCGGAATTTATCAATAAATTTCAAAATTTGCATTTGTTTAATACTGTTGAAAACAATGTTGTTATTAAAGATTTTTCAGATGCAATTCCTTAATATTTGTGCCGAAAGTTAATTACTTAATCAACCTGCATGAGTTCTTGTTGCTTAGAATAATAATAGAATAATAATACAAATATACATTAAAATAAAAGTTTTGCTTTAGTAACTGGAAGGATCTGTTGTTATTTAAGATTCTAATTGCATCTAGTCATTTCCTGCAAATCGATTAATTTATTAATTTGCGCAACTTCCAATTTTTGAAGAAGTTTTCATAAATACGCACTTTTAAATCCAATCGAAGTCTGTTTCTTGATAATCTTATTTAAACAGTTGATGATGAATATTTTTGAATTGAAATGCATTGATTACTGCTTTGCAAATTTTCTGAATCATTTAGCTGTTGAATCTTATATAATCAAAGTAAAGAGATATTAAACTAGAAGCTGCAATAATTATGCAGGTGGAATATTTCAATTGTCTAGTTTAACAAACAAGTAAATGCCTCATCAAATTATATCATGCCGAAACGGCTTGCTACTTTTAGATTCGCCTCTTGTCTTTGCGCTATTGTCTTAAAGTAAAGAAGCAGAGAAGTATTGCTGGGTTGGACAGAAACAGAAACAGTTATACATAAACGTCGACAATTTTCAAGTACGTTTTCGTTTATATTTTAGTCTAATATTATCAATTAAGGTAATAATATCCAAGATGGTTGAAAATTATTTAGAAACATTTTTTGCAAGTTTGTAAACCAGCAACTGAAAGTTTCAGTTCAACATTCCGATTATCAAGAATTTTGAGGAATACGTACATCGCTTTTCTGATTAATCGATAATCAAAATCTTAACCTTTTGACTGTGCTTACCCATCCATTTCCTTTGACTAAATTTCCTTCGCAAAGTTTACTTGAAATATGCGTATTAGGTTCAGATTTTACGAATAAACATTTCTCGGCATAGATCATCTCGAACTCTGCTACAAAACGTCGCATGGGTAATAGCGAAGAATTTGCTGACAAGACATGACCAGGGAGGAGTTGAGGTCTTATTACAAATTTTTTGGTAATTTGATATCCTCAAGGGTCAACAACAATGCCAAACAATGCCATTTGTCCTCCAAACACCTGCAAGTTTGGGCTTGGTTCCTAGTTTAGAAACAAGGTACCAAAAATGGTAAACGCTCAAGTCTCACCTGTTTAGATAAGAAAGTCACGACCTACAAAATTTTCGCCTAAATGCCTATGCCTTAAGTACCAACACAGATCTCTCCTTTAGATCAACCTTGAAAACATTGGAAATCCTTTAAATCCTTTAAAAATACAATTTGGAAATCCACAATGCTTTGTAAGTGCCAAAAGATATAAAATTTTCTATGACTAGTAGTGCATACAGTTTTCAAGAGATTTTATTTTTGAATCAAATAGTAATAAATGAAAATAAGTAACCTCTTTAAAAAAGACTACAGTTTCACAGCATTTTCATATAATTTAAATAAAAGTTGAGTAGAGTTTTTCACAATTATATTAAATACCAATTTAATCCGTTTTCTAGGAAAGACTTCAATCTATCTATTGTCCAAAATGGGAGTATTTATGCTCGCGACGTTGCTTCTCCAAATTTTCTGCTTTGCTTCGATAAATTCAGACGAGAGCCAAAGTACAAGAAAATCCGTTTTCGAAGAGGTGCATAACCCAACTCAGATAACGACAAGCATGTTTCATAAGACCTTCCATCAATGCAGCATGGATTACACATGCAATTACATTGTTAAGGATGTTAAGAGCCACACTTATAATAGATTTAAAGATGAGCAAGAGATCCCGGCTGAAAGATCAAACTTTGTTATATGGTCAAAGAAACAAGCAAGAAGAGGTATGAGTTGTTACTTGCAAGGCCATGTAATCAGCAGCATTAGTAAGTAATCAATAGCTAGTTAGTTAATTATTTGTGCTCTGTTGTAATTATGAAAGAAGTGCTTTGTTTTTGTTTTCAGTCAGAAATCTTGAATTCATTGAGGCTTAGTTTTGTTTCCCTTCTAGGGGAATAACATAGGTAACCAACCAAGCTATCACGTTGCAACTTCATCCTTCTATTATCGTGTTGCAGCCTAAAAGTATACTGGAATTTGATGTAAGCTTTTAGATGAATAGAAAAATGTAATATTCTGCAAGATGTCTTTATACGAATAGAATGCAATATGATATTTTGATAATTTAGGAACTTATTGCCTGCCTCTTTATGACAATTCAATTTAAGGAAACTGGTTTTTGAGATTGCGATGAAATTATTTTGATTTGACCTAAATTCCAGGCGTTCCAGGGAATATTGCTTATAAAAAGCCGTCCTCACATTCGTCAACATCTACAATACAAGAAATTCCATTAGTTGCCAGCTTTGGAAATGACGGTGACAGAACTGGAGACTGGCAGCGATGCAGTATCACAACTAAGGACTTAGTACCCTGGTGGCAAGTGGACCTGACAAGGCAAGCTGCGGTCGCAAGTATCCAAATAAGAAATGGCGCAACTTGGGGTCAATTGAGAATCAATCCATTCGATATCAGTGTTGGGGATGATAGATCAAGTGGTGGACGAAACAATGCGCTTTGCGTGAAAGATGGAACGTTGGCAATCGGTGAATTGAAAAAGTTCGATTGTCCAAGGCTGTTGCTTGGTCGTTATGTGACTGTGTTCTTGAACAGGCAAGAATATCTTCAAGTATGTGAGCTTGAAGTTTACGAATTTCAAACGGAGTTGTTCGTGTAAAGTATCGTTATTGGTGAATTTTATGTTTTGTAATGATTATTCCATTAATATATATATATGTTCTGCAAAGAGTCTATAATGACACGATGGCTTAAAAGTGGCTCTGAAAAAGCAAACATTATGAAACATACTAAAGCTTTTCGTTTAACACTCTTCAGAGTAAAAATCGTCAGAACATATATCAAATAAGTTTCATATCTTTCGTTCTTTGCATTAATTTTATAACATTTGCGCACTTTTCTCTCTTTTATGTCATTAAAACATCGAGAATCTTTGGGATACTGTTCTGTTCTTTTGTTCAACTGGCAAAAAATCAATTCCTTTCTTTGTTAATAGATTTGCGTCGATGCTCCATAATGCATTCAGTCTTATACATCTGTTTGCCAAATTTCCAAAGAATGAAATGCAGATCATAGCTTAAAAAGCTTCACAAAAAAGTTTGCAAATATTTTATATGGCAGACGAAGTATTTCTCTATTTGCAGTTACAGAAATCACCAGCAGCAACAATCTAAAAATGATTTATTTCTTAGTCAAGTCTCTTTTTCGCTAGCCGTTTTCTACAAAAGCAAATAGTAATACTCCTTTTATATTGCAGGTTTAGACAGGTAGAGGCGCATCAGCAACTAACAAAAATGATTGTTTATAAGTTTCAGTAACTTTTGATCAAAATTATATATGTTACAAATTCTATCTCCATAAAAACTCTTCTTCTAGAACAAATTCTTCTGAGTTTTTAACCAGGTCAGGTTTTTTTTTCTGCCAGCAAAACTATTTAAGGTTTGTCACGCTTTCAAGCCAGAATATTCTCAAAATTTTAAAAAGATTTCGGAAAATTAGTTCTTTACTTTTTAAATTCTTTGGCGTTACTTTTGAATATCAAGTTAATACTTTGGATGAAATGAAACTATATAAAATAGCATAAAAATAGGTACATTTGATATTGCATATCCTTTTATCAGAAAACTAGAAAATTTTGTTATTTCACTTTATACTGGAAGAAAACAGCTCACCCCATACAATCTTTGAGCATTCTTACCAGTAACCATCAGATGATTCCATTTTTTCAAATGTAGAATAAGACTTAGATGACGTAATGGTAGAAAACTTGGTTTGTTAATCAATTGCTTTTTTGCTTGCAAAAACAGTTGTTATAAATCAGAATTGAAATGGATTTTGAAATTTCCTACATTTGAATTTCTTCATAAATTTGGTTGCTTGCATTTGTTTTGAATATTTAAGCAATAAAATGTTTAACAATTTCTTTGAAATGAATTGACTTAATAACTTGCAGAAACTGTTGCTATTTAAGATGTTTTAATTACAACAACCTCTACAATTTTTGCTGCAAACTTATTGCTTTAACATCCTGCAAATACAATTATAATTCAGAACTATAAAATGAATGATGATAAGATTAATATGCATAAAAAATATATTTCTTTAATTAACTGTATGAACTGTTTTTTATTAGATATTTGTTATAAAACGCTCCAAATCAATAGCGGCACATCAATTATCAACTAGCGCAAAAGATTTCTTTTCTGAAGAAGTTTTGATAAATATGCTTCATCAAATAGAATAAAATTTTATTTATTGATCATTCTGTACAAGCTTTTTATTGAACAAACATTGAAGATTTTGATTGAACTGAATTTATTAATATTTTGTAAATTTACCGATGAATTAAACTGGAAAAATATATTGTTTACATTATCAAAATTGAAAAAAAAGTTTAATGATTTCTTGAAATGGTCATATTTGTCACTTGTTGTCACTTGGTTAAATATTCAGGGCAGCAAATATAAAGAATGAATTTTATTCAATCATTTTTTCAATTAACCGCTTTTTCAACCTGTGTATGACTTTTAATGCATTTACATTGAAAACGTTTCAGGGACTTCAAATGTTGGGAGCAAGGCAAATGGCAACACTCTGTAGAATAGTAGAACTTTCTTTATCAACCTGTGCAACATACCACAACGTAATTGCAATTAAATACAGTTTTTAATTTACAGAACGCCATGAACTAGTCCAAAGCAATCTCAAAGATACTTTTTGCCAACATTTTTTCTTAAGAGTAAAACTGATTAAAGTAAGCCCAGTTTCAAGCGAAACAAAATACTCCCTACCTTTACATATATTTAAGAAAAAAGTCTCAGAATTTTAATCGTTCAATTGTACTTGTGATCTTCGCAAGGAATACGTATGCAACAACGGTTATAATTGATTTACATTATATTTAGCGCTGTTAATTTAAATTAGTTGGTTCTTATTAGCTTGAGTGTAGCTGGAGATTATGCCAACTTAATTTGAGATCTTTTGGTGACTGAAGAAAACGGAATTTGAGACCCTTGCAGCCAATGGATAAAGCTTGTTGTAGGGGAAAATATGCCTTCTTGTGAAATACCACTTCAGTTTTTGGCATGGCAAAATTCTGAGATACGTTGTAAAGTGATATATTGAAAATTAAATGCATGAAAAATTTGGACTATATATTCGGTCATTATTTTGGATAGACGAGTCTTTAGAGACTAAGTATTTGGAATTTGACGTTATAAAGGGGCAATACATGAAAGTCTGATTTTGAACAACAAATTGTTCATTTTCTATTATGAATTTTCCTTCGACAGTGATTTCGGTTTTAAGGCTCCTTGGGCAAAACTTTGACCACTCATGCACTAGCACAGAATTTAGATTAGATGTTTTGTGACACTAGTGTATTTGCTGTTTGTTAGAACAGGTATTAACTTTACATTGCATAATTAGACCTAACATACTTTGCGTTTGTCCTTTTGTGTGCATCTGTATTCAGTTTTACCAGCTCTTTAGATGCATTTTGCTGCTGCCATCAGCGTAGAATGTGCCAAGATCGAGCAAATAACTAATTATAGAGCAATATAAAAGATGAACAAAGTGTTTTATTAGTAAAAGGAGAGAAAATAGAAAACTCTTTTGCATCACTCTTTAATATCATTTTATGTTCCACGTTACATGTATAATCATTGCAGCGTAGCAATACATGCATGAAATCCTTTTGTATGATCATGTTTAAGCTTGAATTGGATTTTCTGAAGATCAAGGAGACTATAATAGCACAAGTCAAATAACAAGGCTATCATTCATGTCACTTCCTAACACGATAAAGAGGTCTTTGCTTTGCTATATATAACCAAGTCAAAAGAATGAAGGCAGTTTGCAGCATATATATTTATGATGTATTTTCTGCTTTTTGTTGTCAAAAATTTTGTTGACAGCTCTTAGAGCTTAAAGAAAAAAACAAGCTATCCATCCTTGAAAGAGTCTTTGTAAATAATCTTTTAGAAAAAAAGTTGATTTTTTGTAATTAAAATTTCTTGAATGAAGCACAAAGCACAAACCAAAAAAAAATTTTCAGACTTCGCCCCTACTGTTCATAATTAATGTACTTAATAGATAGAAAAACATAAATTACAATGAGGGTTAATTCTTGATAAATTTTGAAGATTCCATAAAAAATTGGTAACATAGTCTGCTGAAGTTATTTGCGTTCGACAATCTTCAGAGTATAATCAAATGATAATGACCAATGGTAGGCAGAAAATTTACATTCAAGTTTGGATCGACAGTGGCTCAAGTGAAAGAATAGGCCTTTTTTAAATCCGTGTTTGGCCAAATAGAGAAAGCGAACTTTTGCTGTCGAAAGAAGCTAGATCAAAAGACGATGGCTCATTTTCCATGGCACACGATGGCAGCAATTTAAGATTTTGTGCAAACTGTCACTATTGTCTATTTGGCTGAAGATTGTCCGACGAAAAGTACCTCAGCGTGCTATGTTTACAATATTTCATGCCATCTCCAAACTTTGCGGTACAGAAAATTCAAACATATAACATGAAATCTTCGTGCATTTTTAATGTCCTCTTTTGCTGATTGTAGCAGATATATTACAATTCTCTTCCAATGCATTCGTGCTTGCCAGAAAGTGGAAAATAAATATAGATTCATCAAGCTTTGTTTCAGAATACATCTAAAATAGAAAGTTCATGTTAAAATAAACTTTTGATATCACAAAATGACAGAATAAATATCAAGCCTCTTTTTACTTGTTTCAAAAATATAATTTCTATTAACAGAATACTGTGCAAAAACTATTAGCTTTTTAACTTCATGAAAATTCAACATAGAATTATATTCAGGCTACACACTTTTTTAAGAATATGTTTTATAAGAAAATGAATGCTCAATTTAAATCGCTGAAATTTAAAAATAATGTAAAAACAATCAAAGAATCAAGCTTAAAATAAATTGAATATAGTGTTTAATTTAGTGTGTTGGATAGCAGAACAAATGTAATTTTCACGATATATATTTTGAAAAAGACGTATTTGGCCTTAGAGACATTGACATTATAATGCGAATCAGTTTCACCTTTCGTCGCTAAAAAGTAATTTAAGAATAATGTTAGTCTCAAAAATAAAATGAAAATATACTCAAAAATTTAACTGAGTTATACTCATTAAGTAAATCTCTATGACAGTACATATCTATACAATCAAAAGTTGTACTAAACGATATCAATGGCTTATATATCCTTGACTTCCAACACCAAAGTGTCAGGAACCATTTTCAAGAGAACGGATTTTGGTGATGAAATCTGCTGTTATTTGCTATTTCCTCCACTAAAGCCGCTTAGAATCATTTTGGGATCCATATCCTGGACTGCATACCTTTTCGAGACCACCGGAAGCCAACTCGCAAAAAGAGTTCTCTTCGACATTGCTTTTGGTCTTACAAGACCTCCGTGCAAATTGGCCTATGCATTTTTTCTCTTTAGATATTTCTCTACAGTTTAAAACATTTTTTACATTGTTTACTTTGTATTGTTGTGACCCCAATCTTTTTGGTTTTGTCGATGAAATGCCAAAAGTAGTTAAAGGCAAAAAAGTAGTAATGGCCTATTAAGCAAGATGAAAGTTACATTTACGTTTTATGACCAACATTGAAGGAGTAAATTTTCATGTGAATACTCATACCTTCATAAACCTGAACCTCGCATACTTGAAGACTTTCTTGCCTGTTCAAAAAGATACTGACGTAACGACCCATCAAAACCTGTGGACAATCGAACTTTTTCAATTCACCATTTGCCAACCTTCCATCTTTCACACACAGCGCATTGTTTCGTCCGCCATTTGAACTATCATCCCCAACACTGACATCGAATGGATTGATTTTCAATTGACCCCAAGTTGTGCCACTTCTTATTTGGACACTTGTGATAGCAGCTTGCCTTGTAAGGTCCACTTGCCACCAGGGTACTATGTCATTATTTGTGATACTGCATCGTTGCCATTCCCCAGTTTTTCACCGTCATTTCCAAAGCTGGCAACCAATGCAATTCCATCATATTCTTTAGCGGATGAATGTGAGGACGGCCTTTTATATGCCAAATTCTCTGCTGTTATCAAAATTACGGTCAGATTAAGAACATTGAATCTTAGTTTTGAAATTCATTGGATTCATGTTGATAGAAAAAACACATTGCATGCCTTTTATTGGTAGAAGCATTTAGTTAATTTATGCTACAGGTTACAGACTAACGTTTTAAAGACGTTTAAGCGTAGCATTATACAACATAAGGCATAACAACTAACCAATCACAAGAAGCAGAAGCGGACTGGCCTACCGGGACACCGGGAAATTTCCCGGTGCGCCCTCTGCCTCAAGTTATTTTTTTAAAAAACATGGAAACTATTAAAAGGTAAATTATCTTCGCAGAGAACTAAAACTGATTACAATCATCAATTGTCCAAAGTACGTTTGCATAAAAAGTTCAGCTTCATCTATATGTTGAGCAATATTAAGATTGATTGCAAAGTTTCCTAATCTGCAAATTCTGCAAGATTTCCTGAAAACCTTATAAAGAACATATTTTGCTTTGAAAACTACTTTGATAAATAAAAATAATTTTTAAACATACTAGAACCTTTTTTGTCTGAAATTCCTCTGAGTATAGAACGTCTTGTAATTTTGGTTAGCTTGTAATTTTTTCAAGCAAGTGCACCATACTTGAATTAATTCGATTTCTGTGGAGGGGGTAGTAGGGATTTTTACTAGCTACCTAGCAGACTATTGACTGTGACTAATAATTTTGTGAAACAAATGACTTCTGACTAACCATATTAGCTTTTGACTTATGGCTGATGCAAATTAATCCTAGTGCCTGATATCCAATAACTGAGGGCTCGCACTTTGAAAAAAAAATTAGCTGAGCACTATCATGTATTCTTTCTAATAAGAATGGCTGTAAATGGATAAAACTATCGATGTGTATGAGTATGGGAACGTTCACATATTATGTAATCAGAAATGGGGAGGTGGGATTTACACAAAGGTTATGGCTATTACGGTTATTATGGCTATTTGTTAAAGTTTGGTAAAATAGTTGTTTAGGGAGAAGGGGATTTTTCAAATATTTCCGTAATATATGCATACCTTAGTCCCTTCAAATTTCGCCTGCCTTTATTTTTCGCCCCGGAGGGGGGCGAGAATTAAAGGGGGCGAATTATGGAAATATTTAATGGGGCGAAAATTAGAGGTAGCGAAAATTAAAGGGTCCTTAAAAAATCTATTTTCTATAATAGAACCTTAATTTTTAGGCCCTTCAAGAAAACTTCAAGTTATCATCTTTGCGCGCGTCAAATTTTCATCCTGCGTTGATTGCTTTCATTGTTACAGTTCTCATTTAGTGACTTTCTGGGAAAATATCCATACTAAAATTCATAAAAAAGATTTCTCAATCCTAAAAATTTTGACAAAGACGATAAACTTATGTCTTTTAAGGGGCCATACTGTAGTTCAAAATAAAATCCATTAATCTTCGATAACGATAATATTGTCCTCTCCAATGTCTGTAGGGTGATTTTCTTCTTCCATTTCCAAAGTGTTCTCATCCTCAGGGCCATATTCGTCCAAATCATCAGCGGCCAATCTCTCCTCGGCTTCAGTTTGGTCAGAAGATACTATCATCTTCTCTGGCTCAATATAGTAGTCTTGCAGATATTCTTTCATTCAGTTGAAGACAGAACTTTGCGCCTTATCCTTTTTAACGATTAGTACAATCGGTATTTCGAGTCCAACTTGAGGAATTGGCGATCCTCTATACTTGTTGTCTCGTACACTACCTTCTAAAGCGCCGCCATAATTCAAGCAAAAATGACAAAAGCGATTTTTCAGCAAAAAGTTTCCAAACAAAAAAAGATTTTTCAGAGGCCCGAGTGTAGTTCCATGCCGCATGAATGTTCATTGCTTTGAAACTGATTAGGTCAAAGCTTTGAAATTTAAAGGGCTTGGGGGCGAAAATTAAAGGGAGCGAACTTGTGCACAAAAGGGGCGACAATAAAAGAGGCGAAAATTAAAGGAAGCCAAGATTGAAGGTAGGCTAAATTTGAAGGGACTAAGGTATTACACCAAATACAAGACCACTTGTGATCAACTTGGTACTTCAACGCCTAAATGTGATCTTGCAAATGTTTTTCTGAACTTATCATGTCGCGAGTAACAGAACCTGTAACCAAACTTTTGATAAAGTTTTAGCAAGTCTCGCAAATGTTTCAAAGCTGGGAGACAGTCCAATAGAAAGATAAAATTTCTTATTTTTCAAATAGTAACCTTTTTCAGTTTTTAAATTAAAAGTTTTTTCAATGGTTTGAAGTTTGGTTTGATTAGATTTTAACCATAACAAGAAGCCTGATGGCTTCACAAAAGTGGTTTGAATCTCGATCGCTTTTTGCATCCTGTTATCAGCGACAAAAATTTATATATAAATCCCTTTTATGCCATATTCATAATAATAGTATTGAAGCTGTCTTTTAAGGTTTAGATCAGTAATCACTAAATTTACTTTTTGTCGCCTTATGTTCTGGTTTTAGTAGACTGTCTGTTAGCTGTCTTTTAAGGTTTAGATCAGTAATCACTAAATTTACTTTTTGTCGCCTTATGTTCTGGTTTTTAAAACAATTTGTATGTGCATCAATTGTAAAAGATAACCTTGAGCTTCCATGTCAAATCCTTAATGAAAAGCCAATCAATCAATGAGATATTTTTGTCGCATTATCTTTATTTTCCACTTTCGCATTTAGTTTGGATAATAATTTCACGTTTGGACTAAATCTTATTTTAACTGCAACTTATTTACTGATAAGAATTATGCCAATACAAAAACCTGTGAAAGAAAACAATTTCTTTCGCCATTTAGACTTTGTTTGTATTTTTTAGGTGAAGACAATTAGACAAGGCTTTGTATTTTTACAACAAATTAAGTGATATTGCCTGGTCCATATACTTAGCCAGGAGCTAAAAAATAAACATAGAATATTTGAAACAAATATATAACAAACCAGCCACAAATAATTAGATTATTTGAAACATACCTTCATAAACCTCAAGCTCGCATACTGGAAGAAATTCTTTCCTGTTCAAAAACACACTCACGTAGCGACCCATCATCAGCTTTGGACAATAAAAAGTTTTCATCTCGCCGCTAGCCAACATTCCATTATTGACACAAAGCGCATTGTTTCTTCCGCCGTTTGAACTATCCTTCCCAACACTAACATTGTATGGGTATGTATCATGTGAAGACCAGGCTATAGAATTTGTTATCCGAACATGTGTGACAGCGGCTACTTCTTTAAGATCCACTTGCCACCAGGGCTGCTCTTCATAACTGGTGAAACTACATCTCTGCCACTCTGCCGTTCTGTCACCATCATTTCCAAAGCTTGCCACAAGTTCTGTTCCGTCATATGTACGGGTTGATGAATGGGAAGATGGCTTCTTATAGGCGATATTCTTTGCTGTGGGTGGAAGATAATTTACAGAAAGAAATTGTAACAAAAACTCTTCTTATGCACAATACTAAACAAAGGCTTTGTACCTTGAAAGATGCCTACTTTGACTCAAGTAAAGGAGCTTGATACCAATGTAGTTACTATTGTATTTACCAATGCATTCATACCCTGGGCAGTAGCAAGTGTCAATGCATTTATGTCCGGCGCTGCAAGGATCATTTGCTTGGCAATACTGACCAACCTGCAATGTAAAAGTTTTATTTCATGAAAGATCAATTTTTATCCCTATCACAACATATCACTAGTGCTATATTAGTCTTGAAATTTACGAGAATAAAAGCTCTTGTTGTTTAAGGCCATGTTTTTTGCAGAGCTAAAAAGATAAAGATTGAAAGCTGTGTTTGATGCTCATCTTGATCAATGACTTGTTGTTCTTCCTTCTTCTCTCTTTTCAACTAATTTTTATATGTGCCCTTTACGCAATTTTCTGTCACCAAATTAGTTTTTAAATTTATAAAGTTAGTTGAATTTTAAATAGGTATTTCAATAGAAAACTCACATTTTTCTCTTCAAAACGGGTTGAATGATATGTCCAACCCTCCTTTTTTTGGGCTTCAATGAAATCTTTAGGATCCTGTGCTGATTTGTTATTCAACTGGCAAATACCCAACTCTCTGTTTAAGTTTATAGACTTGCATCGATGCTCCATGATGCATTCAAACTTACACATCTGCTCATCCAAGTTGTCCAAAGAACGAAATGTAGAACTAAGTGAATGATCATGAAGCACAGCAGTAAAATTGGCAAAGATCTTGCATGGCAGACGAAGTATTTCTCCATTTATATTTACAGAAATCACAAGCAGCAACAGTCTAAAAAATATTAGTACTGAATCAAGGCTTACTTTTTACAAGCCGTTTTCTACAAAGTAATTAGAAAATCTCTTTGTCCATTAAAGATATACACATAAAGAAGCCCATCAAACCTAGCAACAATAGTTGTTTATAAGCATAAAAAATTTTGATGATAAAGTTTCACGAATCAAAAAAAAGCTTACAGAAATTATTTATAAATATCATCTTAGATAAAATTGTTTGTCACAAGAAAAATCTTCCATTAGAATGCTGAACTACTTTTAATCATCCGGAGGAAAGTACTTCGGAACCTAAGTCTAATACGTTTTATTGTTTTCACAAGCAAAACTTTAACAAAGCTGTTACACTTTCAAGACAACATATTCTCTACAAGCTAACAGAGTTTAGATCTACTTCGACACAACCTTTGCTATAAATTAAAAACATTATGTAGGAAAATGTAACAGTAATCTTTGTCACAATTCATCCTTGAAAACAAAATTGAAGTTAGCAAATTGAAAGGAAGAAAATTCGTAGTAAAGACTTTTTCATAGAAATATTGTAAGTCAAATTCTTAAGTTAAAACAATCAATTCCAGATGAGGCCAAGATTCTACGTTGCTTCATCTTCAGAAAAAAGTTAATGTCAAAAGCACGGGTTTTGAATGAAAGATTTGCGAAAAAACTAAAATAGTATGATAACGATCACTAAGTGAAAAATAGATTAAGGGGAAAGAAAGAAATACAATGTTTAAAACAAGCGAATGGAGCAACGCCGGGAATCAAGAAAAGGACATACACGTAAAATAAGTTGACTTTTGTGGATGAACAGATAGAAAAACATCTACAATGTAACATTTCAAAATCAAGACATACATTTGAAAATGCATCTTCTTTGATTGGGGAACCAGACAACTTTGTCTTTTTACCTTATGCTGGAAGAAAACAGCTCGCTTCTTACCAACTTTAAACACACTTTGCACTGACCATCAATTGATTCTAAAATTGCCATAAATTGAAATTGGAATCTGTTTTTAAGGTTTGACAACATCGGAATTTATCAATAAACTTGAAAATTTGCATTTGTTTAACACTGTTGAAAACACTGTTCTTATTAAAGATTTTTCGGATGCATTTCCTGAATATTTTTGCCGAAATTTAATTACTAAATCAACCTGCAGAAGTTCTTGTTGCTTAGAATAATAAGAATATAATAACACAAACATACATTAAAATAAGAGTTTTGCTTTAGTAACTGGAAGGATCTGTTGTTATTTAAGATTCTAATTGCATCTAGTCATTTGCTGCAAATCGAGTGATTTATTAAATTGCGCAACTTCCAAATTTTGAAGAAGTTTAAATAAATAGGCACTTTTAAATCCAATCGAAGTCTGTTTCTTGATAATCTTATGTGTAAACAGTTGATGATGAATATTTTTGTATTGAAATGCATTGATTTATGTTTTGCATATTAACTGTTGTTGAATTTTATTTTGTTTATATAATCAAAGTAAAAGAATATCAAATCATATCTTCAAAACCCTAAGGCTTTATCAGCATGTCAAGTGATCACACTAACAGAGACTTCGATCAAATTTTGTTCAATCGTTTATTGAAATCTTATTGCTTTAATAGCATTTAGATTTTTTTCTATTCAATTGATATAAAAGTTAAGTTCCAGAAATGTCAAATTTTAGGAAAGACCCTTTTGGAAGCGTAATTAGTAATCATTGAAAATGTGTATAATTATTTCTGGAAAGTTGTTTGATAGGGGGCAAGTATCCTTTTCCATCTTCCACTTCCCCATTTTCATCCCTGCACTCTTAGAAGACGCCTGCTTGCCTATCGTAAGGCATAATTGTATACAGTTGGGTAGAATTAAGCAACCTTTAACAGCTTTGAAACTTTTCCAGAAAGTGGTCTCCTGTCTATCGATGTTAACTTGAGTTTAAAAGAAATTCTTTGCTAGATATATTTTGCACTTGTTCACGTAATATGGGATTGGATTCATTGCCAATGGACAAATTAGAAGAATACGAAGGAGTTGCATTAATTATGTAGGAGGAATAATTCAATTGTCTAGCTTAACAAACAGCAAAATCCCTAATCAAATGATGTGCGGCCTAAATGGCTCTTTATTTTTAGATTCGCATCTTTTCTTTGCGCAAATAATTTAACATAAAGAGGAGAAAAGTATTGCTGGGTTGGACAGAAACAGAGACAATCGTACAAAAATTCAACAATTTAAAAGTAACGTTTACTTTTAGTCTAATGTTTCCCATTCCGACTATTCGGAGATTTGAAGAATGCATTCATCCCTTTTCCGGTTAATCGATAATCAAAATCTAATCCTCTTGACTGTGCTTACCCATCCATTTCCTTTGACTTAAAATCAGGTATTTTTTCTTCGCAAAGTTTACCTCAAATGGGCTTATTAGGTTCAGATTTCACGAGTAAGCATTTTTAAGCTTCGATCATTTCGAGCTCTGCAACAAAATGTCGCATGGGTAATAGCGAAGAACTTAGCTCACAGAGGACATGACCAGGTGAGAGACGAGGCCTTGTTACAGAATTTTTGGTAATTTGATATTCTCAAGGGTCAACAACAATGCCAAACAATGCCGGCTTCTCTCCAAACACCTACAAGTTTGGGCTTAGTTCTTAGCTTAGAAACAAGGCACCAAAAAATGGTAAACGCTCAAGACTCATCTGTTTAGATAAGAAAGTCACGACCTACATAATTTTCCCCTAAATACCTATGCCTTAAGTACCAACACAGATCTCCCCTTTCGATCAACCTTGAGAACATTTCTAATCCATAATCCACATTACCAAAAGATTCGAGCATCTCTATAACGTGTACTGCATTTAGTTTTCCAAAAGTCTGATCTTTGAGTTAAAAAGTTATTGATAAAAGTATGTAAGATCTTTAAATAAGACTACAGTTTCGCAGCATTTTTATATGATTTAAAAAGA